CCCACTCCAAATAGGCCTCCCCACCCACTAGATGATGTTTTTGCAATCTCTTAAGGGGGACAAAGGGATAGGAGACTTAAACCCTTAACCCCCCCAGGAAGGGCTAATCCCCGAAGACCCCTACACTGTGTCTGGGAGCCTTCCCTCCTCTCCAGGTCAGCCCCCTTTGTTCAGGCCTCGGCCCCTTTGGTCCAGACACTTGCAACTGTCCCACTTACCAGGCCATTCCTCCATACTGCCCCCAAGTGGGCATCCAAACACCCAAGCCTGTTATTCAGAGCACCTCCCTCTTGACGAAACTTTCAGTGGCTTTCCTGCAACTCTGCAGCAGTTGCACAGATATTCGTGTTTATGTGCGTTTTGGAAACACACACACACGGTTTTAAAATTTAAAAAGTAGTTGCCAACATCTAAAAACCCAGGGGCAATCCATAAAAATCGACATTTCTAATTTTTCTTGAAAATTTCTGACAACTCTAAGCTCACACAGCAGCATGACAATAACTGCTTGGAGCTCAGTAACAACTTGGCCTTCCGAAGGGGTCCCTGGGGCTTGCATGTGCACCATAGTCCCCAGAGGATGCGTGAATGGCCTTTTTATCACGGGGCTGGCACTGACCTTTTTATCTCACTTCCTGTCAGCTTTGCTCCTTCTAGCGTTCATGTTCCTGTCTGTCTCTCTCCGGAGCGGAGCGGACACTTCGGCTTGCTACAACAAACCCAAGTCTAAATCCCTTGGCCTGGGGTATCTGTCATTTCAGCTACCCCTCACACCTCTTCCCTCCTTCAACTCCTCCCCTCCAGCACCCTTGGTCCAAGCCACTCAATCTGCTCGCTCCTCCAGACACATCACGGACTTTCACACCCCCAAGTCTTTGTGCATGCTCTTCCTCCTGCCTGGAACAGCAGTCTCTTCTGCCCCCAGTGAACTTCTTCTTCTCCTTCTTCTTCTTTTTTTTTTTTTTTTTAAGATTTTATTTAGTTATTCATGAGAGATAGGGAGAGAGGCAGAGACACAGGCAGAGGGAGAAGCAGGCTCCATGCGGGGACCCCATCCAGGACCCCAGGATCACGCCCTGAGCCAACCTGAGCCAAAGGCAGATGCTCAACCACTGAGCCACCCAGTTGCCCCCGGGCGTGAACTTCTGCTGCTCCTTCAAGCCCCACCCCAGAAGCCACTGACTCTGTAGCATCATCCTGAACCCTCCCAAAGGCAGTATCCTGGGTTGTCGATGGTTCCTTAGTTCCTGTGATTCCAAAATGTCTCATGCCCGGTTCCCTGCCTGTAGTGAGAGCGTCTCCAGGGCTGGGAGTGGGCTGCTTGGCATCCCTGCGGCTCACCTGGGTGGAGGAATGGGCCAGCAGGTTGGTGGTGGGGATGTTTGGGTGGAGGAGTTGCATCTCAGCCCCTCTGGAGCTGGCCTTTATGGCTAACACAGGTCGGTGAGCATTGGCAAGGCGGGAGGAGGGGGAGGCAGCAGGCATTTTGTGACATAGGAGAAGTGCTGTGGCCCCGGCAGGAAGGAGGCCTCCCCTCACTCAGGATCATCTGTGCTTCCTCACTCCAGGGACTGTTTAGACCCCTGGGGGAAGGATGTTAAGATGTGTACGTGTTCAGTAAGGGTCTGGGCACCCAGGCAGAGGAGTAGTCTCCTGGGCCCTGTGAGCACCCCAGTGCCCCAGAGCTGCCCTCAGTGCTGGATAAAGGGGTCAAACGGACACCTTCACCTCCTGAGGCTGATGTTGAGAGACGCCAGGAGATGGGCTTGAAACCAGTGGGGCTGCTCCCACGCTCTGCCCCCTGGACCACCCGACCCCACCCCACCCCTCTTCCTGCCTCCTCTGGGTTCCCAGCTGCTACAGCACCTTCTGAAGGACCCACCCCACCTGCCCCAGGGGCTCCTCCGGGCCGGGCACAGCACCCCCCACACCTCCCCAGGAAAAGCAACTGGCCTTTGGGGGCATCACCTGAGAGGTAGGTCCTGGGGATCCTGTTTTTATGGAGGAGGAAATCAACTCTGAGGCCTCTGAGGCTGAAGGCACCTCCGAGATGCCCCCAGTGCCTAGTAGCTGGGAGGCGGTTCAGCCCCGCCCCTGTGTCCGAGGGCCAAGTTCTCGCCCCGCCGCCAGCCCCCCACCCCGCCCGCGGGCGCCAGGCTCTGGCCTCGGGTCCCTCCCCCGTCCCCCCCTCCCCCGGCCACAGTCACATCCGTCCTGTGCGGACAGATCGATGCGTCAATGTCCCAACGCCGGCGTCCGCCACAGACCCGTGCGGACCTTGTGCGCTGAGTTGAGGCCGCCCGCCCCCAGCACCCTCCGGGGAGCCCGACCCCCAGGATCCTCGGGGGGCCCGACACCCCAGGACTCTCCGGGGTAACCCGCCCTCCCAGGACCCTCCGGGGAGCCCGACCCCGCAGGACCCTCCAGGGAGCCCGACCCCCAGGACCCTCCGGGGAGCCCGACCCCCCAGGACCCTCCAGGGAGCCCGACCCCCAGCACCCTCCGGGGAGCCCGACCCCCAGGATCCTCGGGGGGCCCGACACCCCAGGACTCTCCGGGGTAACCCGCCCTCCCAGGACCCTCCGGGGAGCCCGACCCCGCAGGACCCTCCAGGGAGCCCGACCCCCAGGACCCTCCAGGGAGCCCGACCCCCAGGACCCTCCGCGGGGGGACCCCCAGGACCAGACCCCCAGGACCCTCCGGGGAGCCCGACCCCCCAGGACCCTCCGGAGGGCCCGACCCCCAGGGCCCTCCAGGAAGCCCGACCCCCAGGACCCTCCGGGGGGCCCCGACCCCCCCAGGACCCTCCGGAGGGCCCGACCCCCAGGGCCCTCCAGGGAGCCCGACACCCCAGGACCCTCCGCGGGGGGACCCCCAGGACCCTACCCCCAGGGCCCTCCGGGGTCCCGACCCCCAGGCCAGGCCCTGGCCTGGGGCTCGCTGTCTGCTAAGGCGCCGCCTCCAGCTGCGGCCCCTCGGCCCCCAAGGGGACCCCCGCTCTCGGGGACCCCCGCACTCGCCCCCACTCCCGGGCGTGCGGCGCGCTCGGCCCCTCCCCCAGGCGGAGCAGATGGCAGCAATTAGGGCCCGAGCCTCCCCCGCCCGGCCCGGGCCGGAAGGCCGCCGCGAGCGCTTTCCCGGGCGGGGGCGGGGAGGTGCCGCTGGCGGCGGGGCGGGGGGGCGGGGACTTCCTTCCCGCGGGAACCGGCCGGGAGATTCCCTCAGGAAAGGCCGAGCCCTACCTTCCCGGCCCCGCCCCCGGGTGCTTCCAGGCCCGCGTCCCAACGCGCCAGCAGCGCCTGCAGGTCTCAAGGCTCCGAGGATTTTCGGGTTGGGCCAGTGGTCCAGGCTGGGGAGAGGGGAGCTGTACGGTTGTGCAGGTTGCGACCTAAACAAGGGCCGGGTTGGAGGGGTTAAAAGGGGCCTGAAGTCCGAGTCTTGGGCCTTGGCAGGTGCTGCTGTCCCTGGAGGAAGGCAGGGGCCACCTTTTCTCACAAAGGGCCCGAATGAACCAAAGTCAGGGACTGCCCCTGATTTAGGGCTGCTGAGTGTAGATGGATCTGGGGGTGGGGGTGGGGGGGCAAAAGGCTGGAATGGCTTCTGTGGCTCAGGGGCAGGGCCAGAGCAGGAGGACTCCGAGGGCTCAGGACGGAGACAGTTCCACCAGTCGAGCTTCCCAGGTTCCTTCTTCCTGAATTCTCCCAGCCTGACCCTACTGTCCAATCCATTAGCAAAGTTTGTCCCTCCCGTCTCTAAGATATATCTGGGATCAGCCCCTGCCACCCCCGCCCCCCCCCCCCCCCCCGCGTCCAAGCCCCTCCTCCCTCCTTGCACAACTGCAAAGGCTCCTGTAGGCTCCCCTGGCTCCGGGGGAGTCAATTCACACAGCTTCCAGGGGGGCTGTTAAAATTACCCATCAGGGGATCCCTGGGTGGCGCAGCAGTTTGGCGCCTGCCTTTGGCCCAGGGCGCGATCCTGGAGACCCGGGATCGAATCCCACGTCGGGCTTCCGGTGCATGGAGCCTGCTTCTCCCTCTGCCTGTGTCTCTGCCTCTCTCTCTCTCTCTGCGACTATCATAAATTAAAAAAAAAAAAAAGAAAAGAAAAAAATTACCCATCAGGAAAACAAGGCAAAAAACCTGAGAGCATGTCCCTCCCCTTCTAACAACTTTGCATGGCTTCCCTGGAGGAAGGCTCCAGTTTCTAACCCGCTTCCCTGGAGGAAGGCCCCAGTTTCTAACCCGCTTCCCTGGAGGAAGGCCCCAGTTTCTAACCCGGGCCCCTGCCTGTGCTGACGTCTCCTAGATCATTGTCCCTTCTGTCCAGCTGCCACTCACCCCGGCTGCCTTTCTGTTCCTTGAACTTGACAAGTTTTTCCCCACTCTGGCTTTGGGCTTGCCCATCCCTTTGCCTGGAACACGCTGCCCGGATCCTTCACAGGGATGTCACCTCCCCATCAATCCTGACCACAACACCGCAGCAGCCTCACACCCAGTTGCCTGATCTACGGTGGCACTTAACCCTGTTTCTTCGGGACTTAACAGCTTTCTGTAATTATCTTCTTTATTCACGTGGTTTGCCGTCTGTCTCACTTACCAGAATGCCACCCTGATGAGTGCAGGTGTCTGCCTTGTTCTCTGCTAGAGATGCCTGGTGCCTGGCACAAACCTGCAGGATGCCCAGCCTACTCCGTGCAGTTAAGGAATGCAGGAGTCCCCGGGGAATGAACTGGATACGGGTCCATTTGGTCATTTCTAAGGGGGCCACTCCTTGGGAGAAGCCAGCTACAGACCCCTGTCCCCACCGGTGTTTCACTCAGATACCTCATATATGGGCAGGCCTGTGGTTTCCAAAAATCAATAAACTTGGCAGCCAAGGCTTATTGAGCATTTACCACATGCCAGGCGTCATTCCGAGTGCTTTATAGGGCTTCACTAATTTAATCTGCACAACAAAGTATACACTGGTATCCTCAGTTTACCAGCAGAGACGCACTAGGACACACCCAAGAATGCGTGGTCATTCAGCAAACACCTGCAGGCATCGAAGTGCTGCTGTTGGTTATCATCGCACGACAAATGGGTGAATACAGAGGTGAGCCTGGGGTGTTTAATGACTGCAGGAAGGTGGACAGAACAGGAGGACAGGACACTGGGGAAGGATCAGCATGGGGGGCGCATAGGGCTACTCTGGGCAAGTGGGTAGAAGAGGAAGTGTAGGGCCACAGCCCAAGGCCCTGCTCTGGGCCCGCGCGCACTCCGGGGTGCAGAGGCGAGGGCCCTCTGCCGCCCACCAGACGTGTGATCTTGGGCAACCCCTTAGCCGCTCGGGGCCACGTTAGCAAAATGCTGGGGAAGGCTTACATCATGCCCAGCTGCCAGAGCCATCACCGGGATTGCATTTAGAAATGCCCATGAAGGGGATCCCTGGGTGGCTCAGCGGTTAAGCGCCTGCCTTCAGCCCAGGGTGTGATCCTGGAGTCTCAGGATTGAGTCTCAGGATCGAGTCTCAGGATCGAGTCCCAGGATCGAGTCCCACGTTGGGCTCCGTGCATGGAGCCTGCTTCTTCCTCTGCCTGTCTTTGCCTCTCTCACTCTCTCTCTCTGTGTCTCTCATGAATAAATAAATACAATCTTTAAAAAAAAATAAACATTGACTTTAAAAAAAAGAAAAGAAATGCCCATGAAAGCGCTTCATCAGCTGCAGAGGGTTGCTGAGGGAAGGAGGTAGGGCAAAGGTTCAGGCTGCCCCCTGAAAGGCTGGGGTTAGAGCCACACTTTTATGGCCCCTCTTGGGTCCGTCCTCTGCCGCGTACCCTTCCAGGGTGGGCCAGGGTCTACCAGTTGTTCTCCGTTGACACGGAGTCTACTCCTCGGGTGTTTGTTGAGTGAATATTGTGTGTTTGTTGAGTGAAGGCCCAAGTGAGGGAAAGGCCAGGGGGAGGGTAAGAGGGAGAATAAAGACGTGGGTGAAAGATGGAGACGATGAGGAAGGGCCTGCCCCCAGCCTCAGTTTCTTCATCTGTAAAAGACAGAGGTAAGGCTCTAGTGGGGACCCGATGAGATGTGGCAGGTCCATGGAGGCCACCCCTTCCTGTCTCTGCTGAGCCAAAGTGCCTGGCGCCCCCTCCCCCACATCCCTGTCCCCCGGAATTTATAGATTCCTCATTGTCCTGCACAAAGGCCCTCTTGGGGGAGGAGGCGGGGTGGGTGAGGAGGCTGGGGAATTAAAAAGTCAGAGGCTGAGTAACAGCCAGCCACACCCGAGGCCCCATAAATCTTCCTGGGCTCCGGGTAAGAAGGCCTGGCTCTGCCCTCACCCGGAGCGGCCTGCAGGGCTCCTGCTCAGTCCCGGGGGCACCCTGGTGGAGGTGTGGAGGCCCCAGGATGGGCCCTGAGGGCAGGGGAGGGGCGCACCCTATTGTTTTATCCCAATGACGTCAGGGAGTCCTTCCTCCCACCCCGCCCCCGCTGCTCCCTGACACTGCTTGTTGGGACAGAGCCGAAAAAGTAGCTCTCTGTGCACATTCTGAGACCCTGGGTGAGGGGGGCCCAGAGGTCCAGACTCCAGGAAAGCAGCCGCCTCCCCCACCCCCGCCTCTCCGGGAGAGGAGACCTGCCAGATGGTGCAGTGTTAACAGATGACAAGAAAACAGAATTACTCAGCTGCTCTGTCCCTCCTGTTCCTGGAAGGGGATGGCCTTCAAACTGGAAAGAGACAATGAGGTCAACTGGGAGGGTTGGGGAGGAGAGGGAGGGAGAGAAGCTTTGGGGCACAGGGGCCTGCAAACCAGCCCATGGCAGACCTGGCTCCACATCCCATCTCCCCATCTCGGCCGCTCAACCAGCTGGGGGATCTCAAGCAGGTCCCTTAACCTCTCAGAGTCTGTGTTTCCTCCTCTATAAAATAGGTCGATGAAAAACCCGGCCTGACCTTCTCACTGGCTTTTATGAAGATAATGTGGATTTTTCGCTTTATAGAATGGGCTTTATAACCTGTGAAGGTGTCAAAATATAAGAGGTTACTTATAAACTGTAAGTGCCAGCCCCTTAGAGTTGGCATTTTAAAGACTTTTAAAAAATCATTTTATAAACTTTCTTTTCCTTACAACAAAATGGAATAGGATAGAAAATATCATGCATGTCACAATGTTACCTACAACTTTTGCTTTTACTTACGGGGATGTTCTTGTGTCCTGGGGCCAGAGGTAGATGTATTTGACTGTGGGTGATGGTCCCAAAAGTTTGAAATATTCCAAGTAGAGAAAGTCCTTTAGTGGTATCTCCAGAACGGGAAGGTGGGTGGATGGAAACCAACAACAAGAAAAGCACCAGGAGAAATATATGTAATGGGCCTTGGACTGTGGACCCCGGGGTGGGGAGACCTGGCTCCGAGTAGCTCAGTGTAACTGAGATTGGGGGCAGTGGGTGCTTGCTTAGGACCTACTGGCCTGCCCTCTTGGTGGATAACAAGAATCTCTTTGCTTTGTAGGATGCCTTGAGCCTGAATCATAAGGACACTGTCCCTGAACGCTTACTAGGCCATGGCCACTGCTCCGTCAGCTTGGCCCTGAACTGAGCCAAAGAGAGGGGCTGGTCAGTGAGAACCTGGAACCCCTGTGCTTGGACCTTTTCCCCCAACAAACCCACTAAAAGTGCAACAGGTATGATGTAGTGGTAGTCAGGACCCTCCTGCCTGAACTTCACCCATGACCCTCATCCCCACCTCCACCCCAGGGGCCTAGTCTGGTGGGGGTGAACTGGTCAGAGGGGGCCCTAAATCAATCCCAGACTTCCACTGGCCGGCATTGAGTTACGAGCTGTGGGTTTTGTGATGTAGATCATGGTAGGGGAGGAGGGGGCATGACCTATGGCAGGTCACAGAGGACCCCCAGAAGGGGCCAGAGCTGGGGTCAGAGGTCACCTCCTCCATTCTCCATCCCACCGTGCTGGGTCCTATCCCATGTCCTTAAGTCCTTAAGCAGGGTGGGCCATTTCCCCACTGATTGCCTGTCCCAGCTGTACCTGCCACCAGGGCTGTAGGGTGGGAGTAGGGAGCTTGTTCTGGAAAAAGAACCTGGAAGGAAGGCAGAGGTTGAGATAACAGTACATTTGGTTCCCTAACGGTGTCTGGCCTGTGCTCCAAACTTGACTCAAGAGTTTGCTGAGCTCTTTCTCTGTAGATTCGTTGCTGCCCTTTCCCCGAATCTCCCCCCCCCCGCCCCCCACCCCTTCTGACTTAACTGCACAAGATTCCTGCCAACCCCAGCCCAAGGCATTAGATGGCTGGAGATACGGCGTGACAATCGGAGTCCAGACAGAGAGTCAAGCCAGCTCCAGACAATGTGTGTTGCCAGGGCTTAAGAGAGAGTTTTAGAGAGATAGAGAGAAGGAAAGGTCCAGGCAGTGAGATGAGATCAAAACTGAAAAGATGGAGAAATGAAGTCAGGCAGACAGAAGGAAGATGGACAGACAGAAGGCAGCGAAGAGATGGAGAGTGAAGGGAGGTTAGGGTGGCGAGAAAAGAGCATTCTGGTTCACTCCCATCAGAGCCCAGGGATCAAAGGGAGGATAACCCTCCCTCTCTGTTTTTGTTTTCAAAGACTTTATTATTTATTTATTTATGAGAGACACAGAGAAATGGAGACATAGGCAGAGGGAGAAGCAGGATCTCTGCAGGGAGCCCACCGCCAGGCTGGATCCCAGGACCCCGGGATCAGGAGCCAAGCCAAAGGCGGACACTCAGCCACTGAGCCACCTGGGTGCCCCCCTTCCTCACTGTTGTTGTTTTTTTAAGATTTTATTTATTTATTCATGAGAGAGAGAAAGAGAGAGAGGCAGAGACACAGAGGGAGAAGCAGGCTCCACACCAGGAGCCCGACGCAGGACTCGATCCTGGGTCCCCAGAATCATACCCTGGACTGAAGGCAGTGCTAAACCGCTGAGCCACCCAGGGATCCCCCCTCTTCCTCACTGTTAATCTTTAAGACTGCCAAACTGAGACTCTGAAGGTCCCTGAGATGTACCTGTAACGCCCAGAACGTGATCCAGTATCTTACCCATTAACTAGCGACCCCCAGCCCCCCTCTACCACAGTCATCCCCATCAGCGAAGACAGACACAGGGAGGGTCAAGACCCAGCCTGGGGAACTGGAAGGGGGGGTGGGTGGGAAGGGACCTGCAAATGGTCTGCCTGAGGGCAGAGGCCTGGACGGGACACCTCGCATGGAGCCTTGCTGCAGGCAGAAGGTAAAAGAAACCTCACAAACCATCTGGGTACCAGCCAGCTTGATTAAAGCTGAGCTACACAAATAAAGCCCCCGGCTACCATGCTGTGGGACCAAAACTGGGCCCCATTCACCCTCCTCCTGTGCCCTGCCCTGCCAAGACCTTGCCGGGCAGCCAACCCCAGGACCCTCTGCTGTAGGCCCCTTGGGGTGGGGATGCTCTCCCAATTCCTGCCCAGGGCTGCCACCTGCTGGCTGAGCGTGGCCCGGCTGAACAGGACCCTTGCTGAGGCTGGGAGTGACCTCCGCCTGGGGGGAAAGATCACCCAAAAAGCAAAATGTGAAATTCCCTTTTACCCAGTTAGATGTCCTTGGGGCCTCTTGGCACAGATCAAAGTCTCCTATCCCTCTACAGTCTTGCTGAGTGGTAGTCGGGGGACTCTTCAGGCCAGAGGAGGGACTGTCAGCGAACTTCCCATTTCCTGAGTGGCCAAGACTGGAAGACTGGGCTAGATGCAGAAGGAAAACATGACCAAGGTGAGGGAAACAGCCAAGCACAAGATTAATGATAGATAACTCCTGTGAAGAGCCAAAGTACCTGCCCGACACAAGGCACGTTTCGGTTCATAGTTATTGAACAAATGAATGAGTGAGTGAAGTTCAGGGGTACACTGAGAAGTAATGGACTCTTTAAAAAAAAAAGATTTTATTTATTATTTGAGAGAGAGAGAGAGAGAGAGAGAGAGAGAATAGGAACAGGGAAAGGGGCACTCCCCGCTGAGCAGGGAGTCGGCCATGGGGCTCTATCTCAGGACCCCGGGATCATGACCTGAGTCTAAGGCAGATGCTTAACTGACTGAGCCACCCCAGCGCCCCGAGAAGTGATGAACTCTGTGTACAGTGCAGGTTGGGTAGGGGTGCCTGGCTAGCTCAGGCAGTGGAGCATGACCCATGACTCTTGATCTCAGGGTCATGAGTTGAAGCCCCACATTGGGTGAGGAGCCTCCTTTAATATATATGTTTAAGATTTTATTTATTTATTTGACAGAGGGGGAGAGGGAGCACAAGCAGGGGGAGTGGCGAACAGGGGGAGAGGGAGAAGCAGGCTCCCCACTGAGCAGGGAGCCCAACATAGGGCTCTGTCCCAGGGCCCAGGATCATGACCGGATCCAAAGGCCTGTGTTTAACCAGTGGAGCCACCCAGGTGTCCCTGGCAATGCTTTAATATCAGTCATTCTTTACAAAAGTCCTCAGACTTGGCCAGACATTAGAATCACATGGGGGGATATTATTTTATTTATTTTTTAAAGATTTTATTTATTTATTCATGAGAGACAGAGAGAGAGAGAGAGAGAGGCAGAGACACAGGCAGAGGGAGAAGCAGGCTCCATGCAGGGAGCCCGACATGGGACTTGATTCCAGGTCTCCAGGATCACACCCTGGTAGGAAGGCAGCACTAAACCGCTGAGCCACCTGGGCTTCCCAGATTTTATTTTCTTTATTTCAATTTTTAACTTTTACTTATATTAAGTAATCTCTACACCCAACGTGGAGCTCAAACTCACAAACTTGAGATCACAGGTCACATGCTCTACCAACTGAGCCAGCCAGATGCCCCTACTATTTTTTGTTTGTTTGCTTGGCTTTGTTTTATTTATTTTTTATTTTTTAAATTTCTTTTTTTTTAAAGGATTTTATTTATTTATGCATGAGAGATACAGAGAGAGAGGCAGAGACATAGGCAGAGGGAGAAGCAGGCTCCTCGCAGGGAGCCCGATATGGGACTCGATCCTGGACCCTGGGATCACGACCTGAGCCAAAGGCAGATGCTGAACTGCTGAGCCACCCAGGCGTCCCTAAATTTATTTTTCTAACAAGTTTGAGAGCTCATCTATTTCTCTGTCACCCAGGGCTCTGGCTGTATTTTGTTTTGTTTTGTTTTGTTTTAAGATTTTATTTATTTATTCATGAGAGACAGAGAGGGAGAGAGAGGCAGAGACACAGGCAGAGGGAGAAGCAGGCTCCATGCAGGGAGGGGGATGTGGGAGTCTATCCAGCATTTCGGGATCACGACCTGAGCTGAAGGCAGAGGCTCAACTGCTGAGCCACCCAGGCGTCCCTTTTTAAGAAGATTTATTTATTTATTTGAGAGAGAGAGAGAGAGAGAGAGAGAGAGAGAGAGAGAGCGCGAGCTGGGCCGGGGGGCAGAGGGAGAGGGAGAGAGAATCCACAAGCAGACTCCCCGCTGAGCGCCCCATGAGATCATGACCTGAGCTGACAGGAGGCAGATGCTTAACTGACTGAGCCACCCAGGTGCTCCGCTACTATTTTTTTTTTAAGTGATTAAGTGATTACACGGTGCAGCCAATGTCAACAACTACTGTTCTAGTCCTTTCTATGCATTTACGTACATGTAAGTTAGCCCATCACACACTTGTTTCTCTTCAATTAACATGTCTCAGAGATATTTTCCAAGGAGGCCATATGGATCTATCTCATTATTTTTTAATGGAGGCACAATCTTATGTGCATGCTTTTTTCAAGCCCTTCCTCTATTGACGGACATTTAAGTTATTTCTAAATTTCTTTTTTTTAATAATTACAATGCTGCAAAGCATATACAATATATCTTTGTTCACATATGCAAGTACTGTTTTGGGAAAGATTTCTAAAAGCTGAATTTTTGGGTTCATGTGTATGTACATTTGTTATTTTGATAGATACTGTCAAAATGCTTTCCAAAAATACTTCCCTAATTTACATTTCCCCAACAGTGTAAGCACTTAATATTATTAATGTTTCATTTTTGCTAAGCTGATGGGCCAAAAGCAATGTTTCATTATTGTTTTAATTTGCCTTTTCCTGCTTACTTGTGAGATTAAGCATCTTTTCATATGTTTATTGGCCATTTGTATTTCTTCTATGAATTAATTACCATGTCTTTTCCCCATATTACTATTTGGTTGTTTTTTTAATTAATTAGGATTAGAGGAAATTCTATTTCCAATAATATGAGTGGCTGGACTCTGGACTGATCTTACCGAGTAAAACAGTAAAAATACTAGTTAAAATAGAAAATTCAAATTATTGGAAAAGCATAGAAGAGTGGCCACATAGCAGGGCGCCTGGGTGGGTGGTTCAGTCAGTTGAGTGTCGGACTCCCGGTTTCCACTCAGGTGGTGATCTTAGGGTCATGGGAGCGAGCTCTGCATCGGGCTGCATGCTCTGCACCGAGTCTGCTTGAGTTTTTTTCTCCCTCTTCCTCTGCCCTTCCCCTCTTCCTCCACATGCCTGTGCTTTCTCGCTTGCTCTCTCTAAAATGAACAAATAAATCTTATTTTTAAAAGATTTTATTTATTCATGAGACACACACTGATTTTTTTTTAAAAGATTTTATTTTTTTAATCTATTCATGAAAAACAGAGAGAGGCAGAGACACAAGCAGGCTCCATTCAGGGAGCTCGATGCAGGACTCGATCCCGGGTCTCCAGGATCACACCCCAGGCTGCAGGCAGCATCAAACCGCTGCACCACCAGGGCTGCCCCCACACACTAATTTTTATTATTTCATACAAAATTGCAAACAAGGGATCCCTGGGTGGCCCAGCGGTTTGGCGCCTGCCTTTGGCCCAGGGCGCGATCCTGGAGACCCGGGATTGAATCCCACGTCGGGCTCCTGGTGCATGGAGCCTGCTTCTCCCTCTGCCTGTGTCTCTGCCTCTCTCTCTGTGTGTGTGACTATCATAAATAAATAAAAATTAAAAAAAAAAAGAAAAGCTTTAAAAACAAACAAAAAACCAAATTGCAAACAAGTGTATTTTCCTTTAAAACTTCTCTCTCAAAAAAATAAAAAATAAAACTTCTCTCTCTCTGTGTCTTTCATGAATAAATAGATAAAATCTTAAAAAAAAAGCTTGTCTTTTTTTCTCTTGCTGCCTTTAAAATCTACTTGTGGTAATGTAAAGTTTTACTTTTTTTTTTTTGAAGATTTTATTTATTGATTCATGAGAGAAGCAAAGACATAGGCAGAGGGAAAAGCAAGCTCCATGCAGGGAGCCCAATGTGGGACTCAATCCTGGGACTCCAGGATCATGCCCTGGACTGAAGGCAGGCACTAAACCACTGAGCCACCCAGGGATCCCCCCAAGTTTTAAGTTTTCTTGAAAAAAAAGAAATAAATTTTTTTAAAGATTTTATTTATTTATTAATGAGAGAGAGAGAGAGAGAGAGAGAGAGGCAGAGACACAGGCAGAGGGAGAAGCAGGCTCCATGCAGGGAGCCTGATGTGGGACTCGATCCCGGGACTTCAGGATCACGCCCTGGGCCGAAGGCAGACACTAAACCTCTGAGCCACCCAGGGATCCCCCCAAGTTTTACTCTTCAAAAAAAAATAAAAATTAAAAAAAAATAAAGTTATACTTTTGTGTGTAGGTATGGATTTCTTACTGTTTATCTTTCTTTGGATTTTTTTAAATCTATCCTGCTTTTGGATCTATCATTGGTGCTGGAAAATTCTGGAAATCTCCTATTAAATTTACTTTGGTTCTGTCAAAGATGAAGACTATGGATATTGTGGGACACCTGGCTGGCTCAGTCAGAGGAGCATGAAAGCCCTTGATCTCAAGGTCATGAGCTCAAGCCCTAAGTTGAGTGTACAGATTTCTTAAATAAAAGTTAAAAAAAAAAAAAAAGACTGGAAATTGAAGCTGAAGTTTGCCTAATTCAACAAATATTTTCAAACTAAAGCAGATTCCTTGACTTGTTTTCTCTTTTCTTTTTTTTTTTTTAAGGATTTTATTTATTTATTCATGAGAGAGAGGGGGGGGGGGCAGAGACACAGGCAGAGGGAGAAGCAGGAGCCCAATGCAGGACTCGATCCTGGGACTCCAGGATCATGCCCTGGACCAAAGGCAGTGCTAAACCGCTGAGCCACCTAGGCTGCCCCCTTGGTTTGTTTTCTTGTCTGAGATCCTGCCCTCCCTTAGATTTTAACCTAATAAATTTTTTTTTTTTTAAGATCTATTTAGGGACACCTTGGTGGGTCTGGTTGAGCGTCTGCCTTTGGCTCAGGTCATGATCCTCCAGGGCGCCAGGTCTTGGGATCAAGTCCCACATGGTGATCCCTTCAGGGGAGGGTGGAGGGTGGGGGAGAGAAATAGAAAGGGAGAGATAGCAGGAGGGAGCTCTGGTGTCTCTTCCTTTTCTGGAAAGGACAGCAATCTTGTTGGATTTGAGTCCACTCCATGACCTCATTTAATTTTAAGTTTGTCCACAAAGGCTCCAACCCCAAATAAAATTACACCGAGGGTTAGGGTTTCAACGTATGAATTTTAGGGGGACACAATTCAGTCCATAACAGATCCCTTCTTCACGCTATATATGAGTAAATTTCAGATGTTCATACAGAATTATTAAAATTAAAATTGCAAAATTAATAAAAGAAATGAAGATCTTTGTGATCTTGGAGTGAGAAGTGCTTCTCAAACAAGACCCAAAGGCACAAAGCATAAGGAGAAATTTTGATGAGTTTAATCACATCAAACTTCCGGATTTCTTTCAGCGAAGCTCACCACAGGTCAACCTAAAAGAAATGCACATACAACAGTGGCAACATCTAAAACGCACTCGACACTGGGTTTATTATCTAGAATATCAGAAGGAATTCTTGAAAAAGCAATGAGAAAAAGATAGGAAAGCTCGACAGGACATGGGACGAAGGCTATGAGCAGGCGATTTCCAGGAGGAGACGTGAGAATGACTCTCAGGTGTTCGGAAAGGTGCTCACCATGTTGATAATCAGAAAAATCCAGTGTAAACTAGTGATATTACCTTATAGTTCTGTCCCATCAGATTAGAGAAAAATTAGAAGGCTGAATAATTACCAGATTGGCCAAGGGTGTGGGGAGGCTTACATGCACTGCCAATTGGAGAGCAGCCTGGTCGGTAAGGATGCGTGTGCCCTCTGACCCAACAGTCTCAGAACCACCCTGTCGCAGGTCTGGCTGCTAGACACGTACGAGGATGTCCACTGCAGCATTATTTGCAGCGGCAGAGAGTTGGAGGCAAGTTAGTACGCAACACCGGAAGAACAGATGAGAAAAATCTGATAGATGAACAGTACAGAACTTTATGCAGCAGGAGGAAGTTGGGAGAAAGAAAGAGATAAAAAGCTATTTCCCTTATCTTTTATCAAGAGAGCAAAGATTTTTCCAGAAGCCTCACCCATTAGACTACTGCTTGCTTGCATTTCATTGGCCACGATTGTGGCCAATGGTCACACTTAACTAAAAAGTGACTAGAGAGAAGGGGGGTGTTTTTACCGATAGGGATTGTGACATCTGATTAGTGCTATCGAAGACCTAATCGAGTAGATTTCTTCTATTTGCTGCATAGAGCTCCATAGTGTGCATTCACCAGACTTGACCGTGATGGCTAGAGGTGCAGTAGCCATCTCGTGACCACGAGGAAAGTTAACAGACTCCCAGAGAAGGCCCTGCCACCATCAGTTTATATCAACACCTACAGGTTATCCCTGGACTTCTTAATCTTGTGTGAAGAATAAACCCCGATTTGGTTAAGCCACTTGTGGCAGTCGGGTTCGACAGCAGACAGCAGAAATAGATCTGGCTCGGTTAGACATAGAGGAGTGGAGAAACAGGTTCTAGGCTCAGAAACAGCTCCCAGCTTTGCCAAGCACATGACCTTTGCCTGTGATCGGAAGCATCAGTCACTATACTACAGGAAGCTGATGAATCAGGAAGCTGCTCACCAGAGCCCCACTACATCTGTCCTGATCCGTGACAGCAAAACAGATGTCCCATGGCATTTAGCTCTGTTCCAAATTTATGTCTTGCACAAGAGCAGAACCTAAATCACAGATTTCTAGCCCAGGGGAACTGAGGAAGTGTCCTTTTGGTTTTCCAGCTTCTGTAGTTCACAAGAAACACTCAAAGGAGTTTTGGATCGATGTTGGCAGCCACCACACCGCAGAGGCCACCTTTTGGTTGCTCACCACCAAAGACACTCCTAGCAGATACACTGCACCGAACGCAACGAGGGGAGATCTCCAGAACAGCACGGAGTGGAAAAAACAGAACGAGCTCTGTCACACAGTCCTACGGTGCTGGTTAAAACATACATAAACCAGGTAGAGGAGGAGAGGGGAAAATAAGAGGAAACCAGAGAGGGAGACAAACCATAAGAGACTCTTATTTCTAGGGAACAAACTGAGGGCTGCTGGAGGGGAGGTGAGTGGGGATGGGGTAACTGGGTGATGAGCATTAAACAGGGCAATTGAGGGATCCCTGGGTGGCGCAGCGGTTTGGCGCCTGCCTTTGGCCCAGGGCGCGATCCTGGAGACCCAGGATCGAATCCCACGTCGGGCTCCCGGTGCATGGAGCCTGCTTCTCCCTCTGCCTATGTCTCTGCCTCCCTCTCTCATTCTGTGTGACTATCATAAATAAATAAAAATTAAAAAAAAATAAAAAATGAACAGGGCAATTGAGGTTATGAGCACTGGATGTTATATGGAAGTGATGGCTCGCTAAACCCTGCTTCTGAAATTAATTTAATTTTTTAAAAAGATTTTATTTATTTATTCATGAGAGACAGAGAGGCAGAGACACAGGCAGAGGGAGAAGCAAGACCCATGTAGGGAGCCTGACGTGGGACTCGATCCCGGGTCCCCAGGATCACACCCTGGGCTGAAAGCAGACGCTCAACCACTGAGCCACCCAGGCGTCCCCTGAAATTAATTTTAAAAACCATACTAAACCAACACTACCTTTTTTAATGCAATGTGCATTTTCAAGGATATGTAAGTGCCGATCGGTAAAGGGAGGGAGGAGAAGAATGGGCTTTGGGTATCAGGGATGAAAGAGATCAAGCAAATAAAGTAAAATAAAAACAGATCTCCTACCTGCGTGGGAATAATATAAACAGAAGAACAAGGTTGACTCCGTTTTCTACACCTGAGGTCCAAAAGTGACCCGTTAAATTTAATATTTAGTATTAATTTAACTTAAAGCATGGTTTAATTATCACTCTAAAAATTATAAATAAAAAGAATTTATAAAATAAAATAAAATAAAATAAAAATTATAAATAGGGGCAACCCGGGTGGCTCAGCGGTTTGGCGACGCCTTGGGCCCAGGGCGTGATCCTGGAGACCCCGGGTCGAGTCCCACATCGGCCTCCCTGCATGCAGCCTGCTCCTCCCTCTGCCTGTGTCTCTGTGCCTCTCTCTCTCTCTGAGTCTCTCATGAATAAATAAATAAAAATTTTTAAAAATAATAATAATAATAAATAAATAATAAAAATTATAAATAATTTGATTGTTCTAACATCAACGCAATTTAAATATCCCGTACTTAGTTTACCATACCAGAACTAGTCCATGCGATTTACTAGATCGTAATTTCTGCACCCCTAATTAGGCAATTCTGTATCTTAATTTCCCCAGAACCTCAAAAAATAAAAAATAAAAAAGATCCAGGTTATCCGTGGAGCCCCACCTCCCCCAGTCCCCCCAGTTCAAAGAGATGTCTGCGCTCGCACCCCCTCCTTCCCCCTCCCCCTCCTCCATCCACAAAGGGAAAGGGGCTGCGGGCTTTCCCGGTGGGGCCGGGACCCCTCACGACCTCCCCGCCTGCAGGGTGTCCCGAGGGGCGCGCTTCTGGGGCGGATGGGGGGTGCCCAGGTGAGCGCGGGCCGGAGGGGGCGGGGCCTCACCCTAGACACGCCCCGCGGGGAGGAGCCTCCTGGGCTGGTCCCGCCCGCTGGGGGCGGGGTCTCGGGAGGGTCAGGTGTCCGCGAGAGGGGAGCCCCCCCACCCCCGCGTCCGCTGCTCACCCAGCTTGATCCAGCTCAGTCCCCGGTGTTTGCAGCAGCTCCCTCCCTAAGTCCAGCCATCTGTTACCTGCCTCGCTTCCTGGGGAGAGAGAGCGCCCTGGGGCCGCCCCGGGGGACCCGCCAGTGTGCCCCAGGAGTGCGGGGGATGCTGGCGCGCCGGCGGTGACTGCCTCCTAGGGAGCCCCCACTCGCGGGTAAGGCCCCGAGGGAGAGAGGAGACCACCCTGGCTGCTGGACTCTTACTGGGGTCCCCCCCACCAACTACTTCTGCCTCTTAGGGTTCCCGCCCACAGCTTGTCCTGCCCTAAGGTGGATGGGGAGCTGGGGGCTGCCCTGGGGTCCAGGGAGACCCCGTTCCCTTCTATTCTGTGTTGTAGATGCCAGCTGCGTGAGGAGGAGGGACGGGCCTTCTTGTCCTCTTGTCCCCCCTCCCCGCCCCCAGCCTCCCACCCCTGCGCTGGAAGAGGAGGAGCCGCTGCCCTTGCACAACATCCCCCACCCCATGTCTGAGGCTTCGTCCTGCCCCGACCCGGAGACCCCTGCCTCGGGCTGCAGCCTGGGGGCCTTGTACTGGGCCTGTGTCCGCAATGACCCTGTCCAGCTCCAAGCCGCGTTGGACGGTGGGGTCTCCCCGGAAGAGGCCGCCCAGGTGGATGGCAATGGGAGGGTGAGCTCCCACCCCACACCCACCCCAGGTGTTTCCCAGGGCAGCTTGGGCATCTCTGTGTCCCCGCCACATGACACTCATCCGGTGCCTGGATCCTTGGGAGGAAAGGAGGCGGTGAGGGGGGGTCTGAACAGAGGCCGGGGCATCTCCAGTGAGGAGTGGGTTGAGAGGGCACAGGCCCCCAAGGGGATCCTGGAGGAGCACCCTGGGGCTGAGCTGCCCCTCCCCCAGACAGGCCTCATGGTCGCCTGCTACCACGGCTTCGGCAGTGTGGTGGCCCTGCTCAGCCGCTGCCCTTTCCTCGATGTGAACCAGCAGGATAAAGAAGGGGACACAGCCCTCATGCTGGCTGCCCAAGCAGGTGAGACACTGTTGACCTTACCTCCCACTGCTTCCCCCCCTTCACACAGGGTCACAATCCCCTACTTTTTGTGTAACTCCCTCCCACCCAAAACACTGTCGTGTTTGGTGGATGGGGGGTCTGGGGCTTCATCACCCTCTTTTGGGGGAGAGCTAAGCCCCATCCTTGGTGCCCTGCAGGCCATGTGCCTCTGGTGAGTCTCCTGCTCAACTACTACCCGGGCTTGGACCTGGAGCGCCGGGACCAGCGGGGGCTAACAGCACTGATGAAGGCCGCCATGCGGGACCGTTCAGAATGCGTGGCTGCCCTCCTCATGGCAGGTGCATGGGGCCTGGACCGGGATTTGTGACCTCCAGTCCCTCCGCAAGCCTACCAGCCTGATGCTAAGTCAGCTGGATAGTTGTCAGGTGGAGATGGAGGATCAACCTAGGCTGACTTCCTGGAGAAGGGGAGTGTGCATGAGCCTCTCACAACCAGCAAAACCCAGCTACTGATAGCTCTATTTACACTGTGAATGTTGGTCTCAGAAAAGAAAGCTTGGGAGGATAACCTAGACCCGCTGGAAAAAAAAACAAAAAACCCTGATATCTGGAACCAGACCCTTGGGTTCTAGTCCTGGCTCTGCCGCCAGCTGAGTGACCCTGGGCAGATGGCTTCCCTCTCTGGGCCTTACCAGTATAATGAGGGTGTTGGCTTTCTCTGGGATGACTTCCATCTCTGACAAGCCAGGGTCCAAGGGACACGATGATATGTCGTCGAGGCATGTGGCCGTGTGGAGTCTTTCTGGGGTGAAGTCCACACTGCTGATGCAGCCTTGGGCCTACACCATTCCCTGAGGTGGGCTTGCCGTCTGTTGGTCACCCTGGGGAACCCCAGCCTCCAACTCTTCCTTTCCCTAACCCATCTGACTGTGTTGGGGTGAGGAGGGAGGAAACTTTCACCCCTCCTTTATCCCAAAGTGGCTGCTATTTCCCCACCCCAGATTAAAGGGGTGTGGTGATAAAGAGAAGGGGGTGGGGCCAGCAGGACCCCCCTCTACCTGTCCAGCAGGTACAGCTCAGGCGTCCGCCAACCTGCCCACCATCCCTTCCTTGCCTCAGGAGGTCCCTATTCTGCTCCAGGTTTGGAGACCGCCCCCTCCAGCCAGGTCTCTCTGACGCCTTTTCTACTCTCTGGACTTTAATTTTATTATATATTAATAAAGTGGCCCGAGGCTGTGGCCACTGACGGCTCCCAGATTCCAGCTGCAACAGGATGGGACTCTGTGGTCCTTAATCTAACCCAAATCAGTCTCGCTGCTAAAGAATCTGCCCTTCTGCAAGCCACCGATCCCTGTCCCTCCCCCCATGTCACTCCCGTGCCCCCTCCCAGGCGCTGACCTGACCGCGGTGGACCCTGTTCGGGGCAAGACGGCCCTGGAGTGGGCAGTGCTGACGGACAGCTTCGACACCGTGCAGAGGATCCGGAAGCTGCTGCGGCGCCCGCGCATAGAGCAGCTCAGCCAGCAGTACCAGCCCGAGTGGCCAGCCTTGCCAGGGCTTGTGGCCCAGGCCCAGGCCCAGGCCGCCCCATCTCTCCTGGAGCGACTGCAGGCCACCCTGAGCCTCCCCTTTGCCCAGCCTCCGCAGGAGGGGGGGGTCCTGGACCATCTTGTGACCATCACGACCAGCCTGGCCAGTCCCTTCCTCACCACCGCCTGCCACACTCTGTGCCCGGACTGCCCACCTACGCTGGGCACCCGGAGCAAGTCTGTGCCAGAGCTGCTGGGCACTGCCCCGCCCCCGCCCCCAGCCCCGCAGCCCCCCCAGGTAGTCCCTGGCTCCCGGGTCCTCATCCCCTACCAGAGCCATCAGGGCATGTTGAGTGTGTGCCCTCAGTGGCTACAGCCCAGGGACAGTAGCACCCCGAGGCCCCAGGCCCCCAAGATCCACCTGTCCAAGGCATCCTCACCTCCCAGACAGTTCAAGCTAGAGTTTAGGCCTCGAGAGACTCAGAAGCTAGCCCTTCCTGTCTGGAGATACCAGGAGCTCAGGCTGGAGAGGAGGAGGCAGGAGGAGGAGGCTAGGTGGGCCCAGAATCAGGGGAAGATGGGCTAGGCCAGCTGGGAGCAGGGGATCGGGCCCTCCCTAAGGCTCCTTGGCCCTCTAGAGCCCCTTCTGCTTACCCACCCACCTCCGTGCAAATGATTCTACTCTAACCTACCTAGGACGTTATTTATACAGCGTTGCTTGCGATCATAAGAGTGGAAACAACCTAAGTGTCCATCACCTGAGCTAGAGGACTAGCTACATTGATCCTGGGCTTAATTACCGCACATCCCGATGCGGTCTTCCACACAGCGGTAAAACAGGATAGGGAAGCTCTTTTTTTTTTTTTTTAAGATTTTATTTACTTATTCACGAGACACAGAGAGAGGGCAGGAGGCAGAGACACAGGCAGAGGGAGAAGCAGGCTCCATGCAGGGAGCCCGACACGGGACTTGATCCTGGGACTCCAGGATCATGCCCTGGGCTGGAGGCAGGCGCTAAACCGCTGAGCCACCCGGGGATCCCAGGGAAGCTCTTTATGTTCTGATGGAAAACTACCTTCAGGATGCATAAAGTGCAAATAGTCGGGGGGTGGAGCAGCGTGTACGGCATGAGACTTTTAATTTGGCAAAGTAAAATTTGCACCAAGATAAACTTGACTAATACAGGCATATAGTGAGTACCAGGATGTGTTGAACTATTAGTGAATGAGGGATCGAAGGAGGGAAAGAAAGAACCATTACTGACAGTGGAGGGGAGAATGCTTGAATAAGATTGGAAAAGTATGTAAAACAATTTTTCAAAAAAAAAAAAAAAGATCGGAAAGGCAGGTACAAAAAAAGTTAACTCCTACATGGCAAAACCATCACTTTTTGGTTTTGCCAGACAAAAATAATTTGCTATTTATCAATCTTCTACAGCTTAGCCGCTTAACTTTACATATAATCGAGTCTGGGCCCCAGGCAAGAGTAATAGTACGTCAAACAAAATTACTTCCCCTAGATGACCCATAGGTGGGGTTATTAGCCAATGATCTAAAATTTCTTGAAAAGGCACTTAGTAATTTTGTGTGTGTGCCTTATTTACAATTTTTTTTTGACTCAGGGTTTTTTGTTTTTTTTTTTAAGATTCTATTTTTAAGTAATGGCCACACCCAACCCGGGGCTCAGACTCACAACCCTGGGATTAAGAGTTGCGTGCTCCACTGACTGAGCCAGCCAGGCGCCCCTGGGTATTTTTTTTCTTTTTTTCTTTTTTCTTTTTTTTTTAAGATTTTATTTTTATTTATGAGAGTGAGACAGAGAAAGAGAGTGGGGGAAGGAGCAGGACAAGCAGACTCCGAGCTGAGCTGAGAGCTCGACACAGGGCTCAACTCCATGATCTTGGGACCACGATCCCTCAGACTGTCAACCCCCAGTCACCCAGGCACCCCCACCCCCACCCTGGGTATTTTTTTGTTAACACATTTGCTCCATAAATACATTTGTTTGCTTATTTGTAATAATAAAAGCAACCGTTTATAAGGTGCTTACTATATATATTAGTGCATTTAACACTCCCAATAATCCTAGGAGGATTTTATCCTCGAGGACACGGGACACAGAAGAGGTAAGGAATTGCTGGGGTCACACACTAGAAACTGACAGAGACCAGGACTGAGAGCCAGCCATCGAGGAGCGGAGGCCAGGCCCTGCCTCGCGGGAACCTCCCCGGGAAGAAACACGGCCCTTTGCTCAGGAAGATGACTGAGCAACTGACCTCTAAGAGCAGAAGGGAAACTTTCCACCGAATATTTTTTTGAGACTTTTGACTTTTTAAAAAATCAGCTTTATTTTTTAGAACAGTTTTAGATTTACAGAAGAGTTGTGGAGATGGTGCAGAGTTCCCATACGCCCTCCACGCGTGACCTCTATTGTTGACCCGAGTATAGTATATTTGTTACAGTTGATGAACCAAGGGACGCCTGGGTGGCTCAGCGGTTGGGTTGCTGCCTTCGGCTCAGGTTGTGATCCTGGGATCTGGGATCGAGTCCCACATCGGGCTCCTGCAAAGAGCCTGCTTTTCCCTCTGCCTGTGTCTCTGCCCCCCTCTCTCTCTCTCTGTGTCTCTCATGGATAAATAAATGAATCTTAAGAAAAAAACAGCTGATGAACCAACATTAATACATCATTGTTACTGAAGTCTAACCTTTATTCAGATTTCCTTAGATTTTTCCCTAATGTCCCTTTTCTGTCTGGAATTCCAACCACGATACATTACATTTAGTTGTCATGTTGCTGTAGATTCCTCTTGATGGTGACGGATTCTCAGATATTCCTTGTTTTGGATGACCTTGACAATTTTGAGGCATTCTTATCAGGTATTTAGCAGAAAAATCCTTCAGTTGGGATTTGTCTGATGTTTTTCTCATGATGAGACTGGGGTTATGAGCTTTCAGGAGGAAGACCACAGGGGTGACGTGCCATTCTCATCACATCACATGAAGGGCACGTGCTATGAACGTCACGGTGAGGGAGCCTTGGTCACCTGCCTGAAGCCGTGTTTGTCAGGTTTCTCCCTGTGATGTCACTCTTCCTTCCCCCTTTGTACAGCGTGCTCCTTGGAAGGAAGTCATTACGTGAAGCCCACACTGAAGGAGTGGGGAGTTATGTCCCATCTTCCTGGAGGTGGAGCATCTACATAAATTACTTGGTGATTATTCTGCACAGAACGTTTTGACTATTTAGTCATGTGTTACTAAATTTTGAAAAATAAAAAAATAAAAAATAAACCTGTTCTTTGAATAGGGGAAAGCACGCAGACACACTGAAGTGACAACGACTTGTTTGGGTTAGATAGTGCATGATTTCTCCCAGAGGTTCTTTTTCTTTTTTTTTTTTTTTTTTTGACATTTATTTTTTTTTGACATTTTGAGAGAGAGAGCACAAGTGGGGAAGAGGGAGAGAAAGGAGCAGACTCCTGCTAAGCACGGAGCCTGACATTGTACTTGATCTCATGACCTTGAAATCATGACCTGAGCTGAAACCAAGAGTCAGCAGCTCAGTCTACTGAGCCACCCAGGTGCCCCTTTGCTGGAGGCTTCTGAAGGTGCCACTCCAGTCCATTAGTTTAGTTCAAGGCTAATTGATCATTTCCTCCCTGCGTGAATATGGCACTTAAGTTCCCCTCGCCCCTGTTTTCTGGTCTGTTAATGGGAGGAGACAGGGTTTGGGGAGAGATCCGTTGGATAACATGGTGAAGACGTACTGTAAACCGTAAAATGCTACCAAGATTTGAGGTGCCGTGGAAGGGTCGCGGGGAACTAAGTTGGATCGAGCTGTTTCCAGGCCTCCGGGATGGAGCTCGAGTCCTTTCCTCCCATGGAAGCCAGGGAAAGAGGCTACATCTGCGGGCTTGGAACAGCACGGCGGTTGCACGCTCAGCCTAGGAGCTGGCCGGCGACCTTGGGCAAGTCACTGAGCCTCTCTGAGCCTCCGCCTCTCCCACCTCGAGCGGAGGTAACGAAAACATGTTCCACGGGGCCGCTGGGAGCGTTCAGTGAGCGTGGAGCACTTTGCATTGTCCCCCCCTTAGCATCACCACTGTCCTCTTTCGGCCTCTCCCTGCCATGCCCCACAGGCCTGAGTTGTCCTAGGGTGCAGGGGCGGCCTGGGCATCTTCAGGACCAGAGAAATAGCCCCCCGTGGCTCTCTCCCTCCCTCCCGCTAGTGTGGGCTGCATCTGAGCTGGATCTGGGCTCGGGGTGGGGGTGGGGGTCAGTTTTCCAGCAGAGGCAAGCCTCTCCACCTTGGAGACCACCGTCTGCCCCTGGCCAGCCTGGGCCGCTCCAGTTACAGGCCTGCAGTCCCGCAAGCGCTCCTCCCAGGCCAAGCCATTTACCTCTAATCCTCTCACAGCTGCCAGCCTTTCAGGCCCCAGGGAGGAAAGAAGCCGACGTCAGCCTCTCCACCAGCATCCCCGCTGCTCCCCGCCAGCCAGGCTCCTGCAGCTTCCACATGTCAGCAGAGGCCGAGGGCCTCAGGACCAGGCCCCTGGCTGTGCTTGGCCAAGGGCAGCTCCCGGGCTTGGATCCTGGCCCCACCTCTGACGGTCTCTGTGACCAGGGACCGCTCACAGTTTCGGTCTCTGTCTGTTTTTTTGTTTTGTTTAAAGGTTTTATTTATTTATTCACGAGAGACACACAGAGAGAGGCAGAGACACAGGCAGAGGGAGAAGGAAAAGCAGGCTCCATGCAGGGAGCCCGATGCAGGACTCGATCCCAGGACCCCGGGATCACGCCCTGAGCCGAAGGCAGATGTTCAACCACTGAGCCACCCAGGCGTCCCTCAGTCTCCTCATCTGTAACCTCAAGTGGTGATAATATGTAATCCCTGCTTCCCCGGGTCCTCCTGCAGCCCAAACAGGAGAGGTGTGCTGGGCACTGTGCGTGGCCCGGGCCAGCAGTCAGCGCCCAGCAGACAATAGGTTCTGTGTCTGTGCTGATGGGCCAGGGTGTGGCCAAGGGGGCAGCTCCATAGGGGAGGCCAGTGGACCCGTCCTTGGAACCCTGTGGCCTTCCTGGTGGTTCCAGGATGTTGATCTGGTGGGCCCTGAAGGGGAAACGCATGCTTTTTCCAGACAGCCTTCCCAGACCAGCTCCTGTGAGCTCTGCGCCCCCAAGCCCAGTGCACGCCGGGCCTGTAGCCCATCCCCGCTGCACTGATGGCTGGCCAGCCTGCCCCCTGAATGCCCCTGGCCACCCTCACCTTGCCCCATGGCGGGGATCCTACAGAAGGGACTGAGAAGTTGGCCTTCTGGACACCCTGCGATGTCAGCCGGGCCTATGAGGACTCCTGGGACACCCTCCCCTCTCTCCTGCATGGGCAGAAGCTGGGTTTGTCTCCCTAGTCCCTGGCTTTGAGCCCAGCCTGTCCAGGTTTAATAAACGTGTATAGACAAGAGTGGAGTTCAGGTTCCACCAAGGTCTGGGAGGCTCAGAGGGCCCTTTATCATCTCCTTCCTCTTCGTAGGGCCTGTCCTGGTCCAGGAGCCACGGTGTCCCTGCTCATCCCAGGGCATGCCCCAGAAAA